CTCTCAGATTGTAGAGCTCTGCAGGTCATTAAACCATGAATGAATAAACAAGTTGTGCTTGATGAACGAGGAAAGAGACAAAGAGGGAAAAATAAGAAAAATGGAGAAAACAGTGTTGAGATCATAGAAGATTCAAAAGAGAAAAACTACAAGAGTGGGAGGGTGTTGTTTTTTCTTTATTGGAGGAAACAGCAGCGACACAGACTGTTTTTGTCCTCAGACAGACTCATTCTAATTGCCGTCTGTTGTGACTAAAAGCATGAAATAACTGGAGGAAGGCTAAAAGGGCATTCTGTAAAATTAGATTGGGGAACTTCCTGCTGACAGGAGGAACTATATTAAGTTCAGCTGGAGCTTATTGAACTGAAACTTTGAAAGCCTCCAAGTGTCATTACATTATTCTGGCTTTGTGATCCCATTGGTCCTTGTTGGTATATACTTAACCTTAGCAGTAAGGCCATGTATGTGTTTCTCACATATCCCTCCCTGGTCTCTGCTCAAGGTGGGTTTGCAACCACACTGATATACTAATGGTATTTAGATATGTAAACGGTGCTCATCTTTTCCCCTCAGGTGGTAAGATACATATATGTAGACACACAACATATGTTCATGCTAATGTATATTAATAATTAAAACTCTCAGTGTTGCCTTCAAGTAGTTCGGGCTTCGGAGGAAGTGACTCAGCTACCAATAGCTGTACTCACCTTACTCTAAGATTGTCTCTGCATTTAGCAACATTATGTAGGAATAAGGTTTTGGTGCACACTGAAGATGGTAGTGCAGTTACTCAAAGAGTGTAAAACACACTCTACCTCATAGACAGCTTGCATTTGTTGACAAGCAGAACATCCCATATACACGACGCTGGCAAAGATGTTGTGACAACGGGGTACCTCTGATGCTGATTTTGCATACATGTGAAAGACGTGTTGTCCGAAGAAAATTCTCATCCTGCTTCCCATAAACAGTCAAACACACAGCGCATTTTGAATCTTATCCATAGAAAAACTAAATTAAACAAAGGCTGTTTTAGCAGCAAGCAGTGAACTGCATTGTAACAAACTTGAAAATGAACTGTTGGGGGGCTGGAGTAGCAGAGAGAACTCCCATGATTCCCCGCCAGTTTTTTTTAATCAGAATGAAAATGTGTATTGTAAAGAGAGTTGTTTCTTTCAGTGTTGGTATAGTAAATGTCAATGTGTAAAGAAAGCAGAAGTGCCCTTTTTGACCCTGAAAAGACACAAAATTAATTTGGATTTGTGGTTGTACATTACTATATTGGGTTCATCTTGACAGGACTATTGTGTTTCAAACACACTAAGCACCTCTGGAGAGATTTTCTTTATTGGCACTAATCCCCGCACTGCAACATTTTGTGTCCAGGAGATGACTACGGATTGTTAAAAGATAATTACTGGCTTGTCTGGCCACCCTCACATCATGTCTGTATTTTACATTTGAATAAGTCATCATTAAGTCCTTACTTTAACATTAATGAATATACATAAACTTCTTATAAATGATTTCACTTTCAAAGAAAACACATTAAACTAGTAGCACATTACTTAATAGTGCAAGATAGATTTGTCTCTCACGTCGGGGTAGACCTTTACAGCTGTCCGAAACATTCACGTCACATTATGTGTGTGTTTATTCTGATGTGTTGTTTGCTGGGACTTTTCCTTTAGGTTTTGGCTTATGGGCCTGCTTCTGACAGGAGACGTTCTGTGACTCACAGCCTACCTCACACGACACATTATACATTTCCCAAGGTGGCTTGCGCCTGTGTCAGTGTGCAAACCAACATCAAATACGCCATCACAACTGCAGCATTAGAATAGCAACTTGGGAGAAAGAGGCCTGCAATTATGTAAAGCATCTAAACACACATCGCTGAGCAGAACGGTTGAAGTGAACACACTGGTTATTCTTCTGCCCAGGAGAGCAGATCCTGGACTTCAGGGTGCCAAACCAATCATTAAACAACTTGTCTTCTCCAGACTGTGCCATTCACTAGTATTCAGGTCCCGCCTCTGATGTCTGAAAACAACCATAAGTCTATATAAAGCATTGGCAGCAGTATATAGGGTGGATTATTTTAAATGAGATGGATAGCTCAGCTGAATATACCACTCGCCCACCTGTGACCAGCTTTTGAAGCATATCGTGAGGAAAGCATGCCCAGCAACACTTAAGGTTCTTTTGACCTTTTTTTTTAAGCTCGATTAATGAGACCCTGGCTGCAGCAGAGGTGGCACACGGTCGTATGAGTCTGCTGCTTACACACAAAGGCAGGATCTGATCAGACTCGTGCTCAAGCTGCAACTGTGCCGAATAATGTGTTCAATCAGAAAGAGGTGGATTTTTAATGATAATTGTAAAACATGCGCGAGCTAGTAATTGGTTGTTGGCTAGGTGAAAAATAGCATGGACAAAATAGACGGAGAATGGAGGGAAGAAGAAGAATGCATGCATTTGCAAGCTGGGTTTTTGTGCGCAACACTGAATGTAAACCTAACACGGCTTACTCCTACATCAGTGAGTGCTCTACTAACTCTCACTTTACTTTGGGTTTATTCCAGTTAATTTAACTGTGCACTGACCTGTGAAATGGTACAGTCAGGGGTAAATGGAGCAGTTCGATGGCAGAGCTACATGCGCACTTTTTGCAGTCAAATAGCAGAAAGAGACAAGGCAACAAACAGTAACACAGTGCTCCTTTTTTTGCAACTGAAAAATGTTGACAATCAAAGTGGCAACAATAAGAGGAAAACAGATTTGACTGCTTCAAATTTAGTATCAAAAAGCACTGTGGCGTTTGCCAATAGACAGCTTATAATCTCTTAACACAACAACACCTGAGCACTGAGCCAAAATGTCCAATGTGGGTGTTGCTGCTGTTGATTGTGAAACAATCTTCTCAAGTAGAATACAGCCATAGTACAACTTGTACTAATAGTAAGGACCTGTGGAGGTGACAGATTTATTTTTACCAAAGATGCCTGCCTCCTCAAACATTTAACCTCTATAATTGTTCCCTCACTGCAGCCGGTGGGCTTAACGCTGTTTGGACCGCAAACTGTCCTCTGTTTGTTGGTTTGAACAATTATTTGCACGCGTTTGTTCATCTGTGAGGGGTGTTTAGTGCGGGTGCCAGGGCCATTGTTGCAGAGTATGGTAGGGCCTATCTTCACATTATCATGGCTGAGTGGGCCTGAGGGCTGTGTGATGAATCAGGGACTCAATAATAAGCTGCTTATGTAAACATGGCCATTGTGCTTCAGCTGCAGGATGCTACAGTAAACCATTGCTACTTTGAGCGCAAATGTACAGTATGAACCATCCCAAGCGGCAAAAGGCGAAGTGTTCACATGCAACTGTACTTTTATCATGACAGACTGGTAACCATTGGCTTTGCTAATGTCATAATGGTAACTTTAATTAAAATAATGGCATTGTTTTTTCACGAGAGGCATCAGAACGAAATACTTATTAGTCCATTTATAAAGAAGTCTCCATAAATTTTAAAAAATGTACTGCTGTGTATTTGAATTGCATCTTTCTTGATGGATTACAGCTCTTGAACAAACAATGTTCCCATTCACACATTTACTACAAAATCCTATTTGCCTAATTTCATTTGGTGTCCCTGCAGATTCCAATTCTCCCACTAAGCCCTCCCTGTTTCCCCTCATATCAGCTGCACGTGACAAGCTGCCTTTCAGAAGTGCACATATACAGTTAACAATGATATAAAATATTCCACCTTACTGTCATATTTGAAATACGAGCTTCAACAATTTCCACCTCCACCTAGATGTGTCCTCTGAGTTTGTAATAACCAGTCTCCTGCTTCTAGCTTGTGGTTTCACATGACATCATGCTGACGACTGAGGCCGAAAACTGCACACACCCCTTGGCTAAAAGTCCTGGGGAGTTGACGATCCATGAACAAGACATGGAAATAAGGGAGAAACATTGTCCCTGTACAGCATCTTAAGTTCAACATTAGTGTAACCTCTCTCTAGCACGTTGTTCTTGTGACAGCACTGCAGCAAAACTCTGCATGATTCAAAAACGCATGACAATGATACAGAAAAGGGAACCAGTTTTGTGTAAATATATTTGGCAGACACACAGGCACACACACAAACACATACACACACACACACACACACACACACACACACACACACACACACACACCGAACAGCCAATTACCCTGTAGGCCTTTATACTTTAGGTAAACAGTGCTGTGTGCAGAGTGCTTATACAGATAGGCTCCTGTATATTTGAGTGGCCCTTCCTCTCTTACTGCCGTTCCAGTGTCAGTTTACGTGTAGTCCTGAGGCTCATCAGGGAGGAGAGAGGTGGATGAGTGGGTGGGCTGGACGTGCGTGTAGGTGGTTCTTACATATTGTTATTGCAGAGGTGAGCATAAAACAGGGGCAACAGTTTAGAAATGTTAAACTTTTCAAGTTAAGACTGCATGAGGTAACTACAGAATACTACTCTAGTATCAACCTGTTGTACTCACTTTAAATGATGTAATGTTATGTAACTAAGGGTAAACTACAGCTTGACTTTGTATTTGTGTATTCATAGTTTAGGATGGAACCATATGTCCGTGCTTTCTCACTTTAAATTAAAAGTCTTGAATGCGGCTCTTTTTTATTACATACAAAGTCACATTAGAGCCTAACCTCATCCTACAGCTGCAGACCAAAGAAATCAATTTAATTGCTGATTTTGCCAATTAGTACAGCTCAGTGAAGCGCAGGAAGATCCACTGAGTTGTACTATGAGCTGCTAAGAAAACCCCAATGAAGAAAATAAAACATTCTCATGGAACAACTTCAGCCTCACATCAGCAAAATGTACCACAGTTCTGTGTCCTCCCTGACCCCTGACTGACCCTCGCAGGATATGAACTTCGCTAAGCTTTATGTTTTTAAATGAGGAATGTGTGTGGATGTGTCTGCAGCAGAGCTACTTACAGAGGGGCACAGGTCATCCACACAGACAGGACGGAAGGAGCAGGGGGAGCCGACTCCTGCCTCTCCACTCAGGTTTCCCTCACCTCTCCCAGGTGTCACTCACAGGAGAAATAAATCCACAAGTAGCAGGCAGCTCAGCCCCAGTGATGGACAGGCAGCTCCCACAAGAACACAGGTAAATTGGACCGACCTCTCCTTGAGTCACTCTGACAGCTCAGCCTTCCACCCTCCCTGTGTCCTCTGCACGGAGCACAGCGAGGCTGCCTCACTGTCCAGATAACAAGACAGACTAAATAAAGAGACAGAGATACAGTACAGACAGCTCAGAGAGCAGAAACTGCTGCACACAAGTGTTTTATAACAAGCCTGCGGCTCCTCCTCCACCAGTCTCTGGCTGCGGCCCGCCCTCGTTGGTATGGAAACAGCCAATCACGGTGCAGCATCCCGCAGCCCTCCTCTTCTCTCTCTCCTCCTCCTGCCTGTGGTGGTGACAGCACTGTCACACACCAATGAAGGCTATAACACATGGTGATGTTTAAGTGGTATGATACCACTTTAAATGGATCTTTCAAACATTCTTACCATATAAATAATATATTGCTATAAGCTTGTATTTACAAGCTCCCATTATACAAACAGGTTTTATGGCATAAGCATTACACCTTATAACGTCTGTTTTGATCACATATTATGTCAAGTATCAAGTAACTGTTGCAACTCACTTTTTATTCTTAGTGCAATTATTATCCTCAAGGTTCTAATAATCATTTTATAATGCTTTATTATCAGAGTTTTAATAAATGCTAATCTAATTAGCTTCAACTACTGTTTATGTTCTGGATAAAGTATCATTTCTGTCATGTTAGTGTTCATAATGATTTGTTTGTGGGTAAACGTAGTGTTTGACAGGTCAATCACTCAATCAGCTCTAAATACTTTAAAAGAAAATTACACATCACCATTGTTCACAGAGGTGTGGTTTTTAGGGATATTATTATTTCAGTGTTATGATGAGAAAGTTAACTGGCTCATCAGCGGGAAAATTAGCGGAAAATTCGTTTTGAACAAAGATGGTTGGGTTGATTTTAAAAGGGGTTTATGCGTTTTGTTTTTGTCCATAGAAAACAGAAAAAAATCCTGTTCATAAAATACCCCCACGCAATGCCTTTTGATCATTTATAATACATTTCTCATGGATCGCTTATGCACACATACTTAATAGTCGAGGTCAGGAAAAAAATATCAATACGGTATCATCATCCTGACTCGTATGATACAATTACTGTATCCCTGGTGCTGAACATTGATTATTTAAAGGAAAAGAAACGATATTCCAAACAGATTTCCCTGCCGATTAGACTCCCAAACGTCACTACTTCATGACTCGGGTGGTGCTCGTGATATGGATGAGGGTAATGTAAATGGAAGTATTTAGCATAAGAAGAAGTTGACAGCAGAAACTATAATGTCATGCAAATAAGTCCAAGTGTGATAAGCAAGCGGAAACCTCAGGTGAAAAATTAAGCCTACTGTCATGGTTTAGTTTTGTATTTTTGTCTATTTCAGATCATTTCTCCTGTCTATCCTAGTGTTGCATGTTTCCTTGTGTGCTCCCTGGATACGTCTTCAGTGTTTTCTGTTTTATTTTGTAATTTCATATTCTTGTTTCTCTGTGTTCCAGTGTGTGTTGTTGTTTCTTGGGTTCTCTCTGTCTTTAGTGGTTCTGGATTTATTTTGTAGTTCTTGTCCTGATTGCCATCGTTGTCCTCACCTGTGTCTTGTTGGTCTCACCTGTCTTTGATTACCCTGTCTATTAAGTCTCTGTGTTCCTTCCCTTCTGTGACAGATCATTCTTGTATGTCAGTCATCAGTCTTTTCCTGTTCCCTGTTCCCAGTGATTTCTCGTGGCTCCTTACGTTTTTATTTGCTTTTTAGCTTAGTTTTGTTCTGCAATTCATCACTCATTACACCAACAAAGAAGTGCAAAAAGCTGAAGTTCCTTGAGTGACCACTTTGGTCTGGGTCCAAAAGCCCAGGAAGTCCAATACAGACCACATAATGAAATGATCATCTTGATAGCAGAAATTAACAGGTTTTGAGTCTGATACAAAAAAAAATGCTTTGGGGCAAATAGCTTCTGTCTTTATGGGTACATAGTGTGCAGGGGGTGGGGGTCTGATGTGATCTGACTGACGTGCTGGCGTATTTTTAGCGGTATTAAGGCCCGCCTCACCTTCAGCTCTTTGCCTCTGACTACGTTGCCTGTGACTTGAAATGTTCTTGTGATTTGTACCACCATAAGAATTACAAATGTCAGTGACAATCCGCAGTTATGAAATACGACACTCAACCTTTTAGGTGAGAATGTAATGCTGTATAATGTGTTATTGAACATTTTCTGAAATAGTTCTTAAAACCACAATTATACAGCATCAATGGCACATGACATTGAAACTATATGTTCATCATGTGTTATAGATATTAGCGTCACTGATTGAAACTAAAAAGTTCAAATAAAGTGTTTATGTGTGTGTGTGTGTGTGTGTGTGTGTAGGTCTTTACCCATGTACTGTGTGTGTTTGCATTTGTGCATTTTAAGTGTGTGTGTGTATGACTGTGTGAAGCCTTCATATGTAACATGTGAATGCCTGTACTGTGTGTGAGATCAGATGTAAAAACATGTACATTAAGTCTGAGTGTATGTATGCGTGTGTGTGCGTACACGTTTGTTTGTGTTTTCCTAATCAGCAGAACAGCATTTCTTCATCAGCTGTGTATTTATACCTAATGTGATAGGAGTGTTCCTGTTAGTCATTCCATCAACACAAATTAAGAGCAACTGCCTGTTGGTTAGAGAACAAATCGAGCAGCAGCTGACAGCATGAAATACGCTTGATAAGAAGTAGACAACGACAGACATCGACGTGCAGCTCTCACGTCATTGAAAAATGTATGAAGGAAAAAGATCCTGGTTTTCTACGTGCAGTTAGAGTTGTTTGATCACATGACTGACTTACTGTAAGAACACTTAAAGAGGTCAACCTTAGACAAGACACTGTGTGATCTCACTTGCTCCTGACGATGAAATCACAAGCGAAGCAACTTGAGCACTGAACCAGGAGAACAAGCAACATGTTCTAAGTCGACAGTGTGACAGTTTGGGTCACCAAAACTTTGCTCTGCTGATCAAAGATGACAGCGAATTCATTCAAGCTTGTTAATACAGTATAAACAATAATGATGATGTAGAAATAAAAAAAAAATTCCATGCTTGATAATAAAATCTCTGACGACATGTACATTTAGTTATCATTAAGGAGACAAGACTAAAATGTTGGTAGTGGGCTGGTGAACATTCAAAATCCCACCTGTTTGACTAGTCTGTCCGTCAAAATGCAAGCAGGAGGGAGGAGAGGTGTGTGTGCACTGCCAGGCACAGATTAGGAGGAGCAGGTGTGTTTGTAATTGTGTGTGTGTAAGTGAAGCAGAGCGACATCACAGATAGAACACGAGCTGACTCATTATTGACCTTAAAGAGTAATATATATATATATATATATGTATTGTAATATGTTATCAGCGCTTGGTAATAGCACCATGACTTGCACAGAAAAAGCACCCACAATCTGCCCCGTTTTAGCACCCTATCCTCAAAATAATTAGCACTAATTATATGCCGTTGCTAACACGACCAAAAGGTTGTATTAATGGATGTGGAATGTGGTGGAAAGACATTTGCACCTCTGCTCTGCACAGAGAGGAGCTCTCAAGCTGTTGTGTCCACATTAAAATGACAAACAAGCAAAGAGGGGTCGGGAAACTTTCTCAGGTTTTTTTTTTTTTTTTTACGTAAAATGTAAAATTTGTTTCTCTGGTTAGAAAGAAACCTTCCTGTCTGAATGGAGCAACCAGGGGGAACTCGAAAATACAAGCTAAAAACTTGCATCCTCGTGTGTAACGGCTCCAAACCTCTCCACAGAACAGATGTGGATGAAAAGTAACAGACAGCCCTGGACTGGTTAAAGCCCTGGTTATATTGGCAATAGTTTTATGTTAAAGTCATATTTACAGACTTTAACAGGTCATTTGTTTTAAAGTCATTCAGAGGCATAATTGTTTTCCTGGTTCCTGGAAAGTTTGTGTTTGACATCTCTTAAAAATACTGCACCACAGTCAACACCAGTTGAGTGCAATGTGCCGTCCTTTTGCGTTTATTTGAGGGGGCAGAGGGAGAGATAGAAAGAAGGAGAATCTTTGCGATGCACACAGGTCTTAATGGCTTTCATTAGCAACACTGTCACCGCCTGTGGTAGCTGTTGCTGGTCTATGTGGATTTGATGGCATTTGCAGCAAAGCTTATTTGCATCGAAAAGCGGGAGAGCATTTCACCTATTGTGCGTACTTTGTGGATTCCTCTCTTTCCTTTTCTCTCATTTGCACAGAGCAGTGCAGTCCTCTTCCGTCTCAGGCACGAAGGGCGTGGTCACACTGGAAATCCGTACCGTGCCCAAGCACGCTTCAAGCCTTAAGTCCAGTTAGTTTGGCCAGTGTGACCGCTCCGTGGTCAGGCACGTCACACTTCCTTGGCTTTGGCACACTTCAGAGAGGTGTGCTTCGGCACGGTACAGTTCATGCACGAGCACAATCATGCGGGTACACAACGCTGACAGCCTCCATTATGGAAAACTCCAGAGTTTCATGGCTGTGTCTGATTAAAATGACTTAAAATAAGCTGCAAAATCAGTAAAGTAGCTGTCATGTTCTCTGTGTTGTTCTCCAATGTGCGGACTCTGCCGCGCGTTTCTTTTAATTTTTTTATTTATTTATGTTACTTTTTTTTACAGGTTTGAAGTTTAATTAGCCTAATTAAGGTATAAGTAGGACAGTAATATGTTTCTTGTGATTGTTTCAGGATTTTATTAATTATACAATTCAGCTAATGGTATTAGTTAAAAGCAAGAGTTGTAACAAAGTGCTACAGTAGTGATGGGAAAAGCAGTTCTTTTCAGTGTACTGACTCAGTAGAATCAGTTCAGTAAAGTGATTCGTTCAAAAGATTTGTTCACCGATTCGTTCACCGATTCGTTCAGTACTTCTCTGCAGCTCTGTCTGTGAATCAGAATTTAATAAGCTGAAACACGGCCGAATGTTTTGTTCTGCTCACGATCGTACTGAGAACAGCCGGTGGTGAATAATAAGCCAATGAGCTGAGAATTTAGTTGGATAAAGCTACAGTTTGCAAACTGAAAGCTGCTAAAACAATCACATTTATTTTCCCTGACCGTTCTGTTCAGTACGTTCAGAAC